GATACGCGGGGGGGGGGACTCTCTATTAGTATTGTTACATTTTATCATGGGGCAGATCTCTATTAGTATTGCTACATTGTATCGGGGGAATATCTATTAGTATTGCTACATTGTATGGGGGGGAAGAGAGAGAGAATCTCTATTAGGGTCCCCACACACCTTACGATAATGGCGGGAAATCCCACGATCGTACGATTATCGTAAGGTGTGTGGAAGCCGTGCGACCTCTACTACTGTAATTAGTATTGCTACATTGTATGGGGGGAGACAGAGAATCTCTATTAGTATTTCTACATTGTATGGGGGGGAATCTCTATTAGTATTGCAACATTGTATCAATGGCTAAAACAGGAAGGAAGCCATAGCTTTATTTTCTACCTTATTACAATACAACAGAGTATATACCATAGATATAACAGAACTTATAAACACTGCCATACAGTGACCGATATTGTATACTGCAGGAGTTGATGCAATAGACACAATGAGGGGAATTCATCAAAACTGGAGCAGACAAAATCTGGAGTAGATTTGCACTGCAGCCAATGAGCTTCTCTGTCTCATTTTCAAATCCTACTGTAGCAAACTGAAGAGAGAAGCTGATTGGTTGCCCTGGGCAACTGCTACACAATTTGTCTGCTCCAGTTTTGATAAATTCCCCCCAATGTGTACTCTAACAGAATATTAGTATTTGTACATTTAATCACTCGGGGAGATTGCTATTATATTTGTTACATTGTATCACTCTGGGAATCTCGGGTAGAATTATTGTTACATTGTATCACTCTGGGAGCTCGGGTAGAATTAATGTTACATTGTATCACTGTGGGATCTCGGGTAGAATTATTGTTACATTGTATCACTCTGGGAGCTCGGGTAGAATTAATGTTACATTGTATCACTGTGGGATCTCGGGTAGAATTATTGTTACATTGTATCACTCTGGGAACTCGATCAGTATTGTTACATTTTATCACTCTGGGAGCTCGGGTAGAATTAATGTTACATTGTATCACTGTGGGATCTCGGATATAATTATTGTTACCGTTTACGAGGCCCCGTGTTTGTCACACAATAACACAGAGCGCAGCCTCTCGCCACCACACCCCGGACGTCCCATTGGCGGAACTAAACCCATAATCGCGTCGTTGATTGGATAGCCCGGGACTCTAATCCAATCAAGGGTCGCTTTAGTGAAGCGGCGTGGCCACTGGCGATTGAAGAGGCGGGGGACAATACGCTGATTGGTCGCCTGACACAGCATTCCTATTGGCCGTCCGGTCTAGGACGCAGTGCGCAGGCGCAACGGCGACAAAACGAAAGGCGACGCTGAACGGAGCTCCGGTGAGACGGACGGATTGACTGGAGAAAGCGGGCTAGGGAGCGATTGCACGGCGGGATCACTTCACCGCCCGCCTCAGGGACCACGTCCCTCAGTGGCGCGCCCAGTTCCGGGCCTACCGGGTGGCGACGCCCGACTGAGTTCTCCGCGCTTCACACCAGAAGGTCAGTAATCACCCACTGGGTCCCCTCCGCCTCATCGATCGCTTACGGAGCCCGGGGGGTACAAGGGGAGAGTAGCTGTGAGTGATCATCCTCTCAGCCAATGGGAGCGCTGCGCACGTTTCCCTGTTCATGGCTTCCGGTCTGCAGCGCGTCAGCCAATCGGCTGTTTGTCTAGGAATAAGGCCCGCCCCTCTCCCTGTTATTTCCGGTGCTAGCTGTCAATCACGGCAGACGAAGAGGAGCCTGTACATATCTCATAGGGGCAAAGTGGGCTGGCTGGAAGTTGTAGTACTGCTACAAATTCACAATCATCCTGTAAGGTGACTGTGTACATTGTGGGGGAAGGTGAAGAGGGCCTGTCACCAAGGATACAGGGGATGAGAGCTATGTGGGTGGGGGGAAAGAGGACCAGTCACCAGGGATACATGGGATGAGAGACATGTGGGTGGGGGGAAAGAGGACCAGTCACCAGGGATACATGGGATGAGAGATATGTGGGTGGGGGGAAAGAGGACCAGGGATACAGGGGATGAGAGCTATGTGGGTGGGGGGAAAGAGGACCAGTCACCAGGGATACAGGGGATGAGAGCCATGTGGGTGGGGGAAAGATGACCCGTCACAGGTGGGGGAAAGAGGACCCGTCACGGGGGATACAGGGGATGAGAGCTATGTGGGTGGGGGGAAAGAGGACCCGTCACAGGGGGTACTTGTGGATGAGGTCTATGGGTCGGGGGTAAAGCAGCTCATCATACATATTTTTCTCTGTCTGCAGCTCCTCGGACACTAAGAAGGCTTTCTGGGCATAAGGCATCACAATGGCGGGTGAGAACGAAAACCCAAACCCCAACTCGCGGATCATGACCTTCTATCCGACCATGGAGGAATTCCGCAACTTCAAGCGGTATATAGCGTATATAGAGTCCCAGGGAGCGCACCGAGCAGGATTGGCGAAGGTAAGAAGGAGCAGAGTGCTGCAAGTGATCGCTAGAACATTGAAATCAGTTTTCTGCAGCCAGAAGTGTGCAGAATGACCTGATTTCTTTTTGGTACACTTCACCCCGTTGTATTAAAGCCGAATGACATGCGGATATAAAAGAGAAAAGCATCAACTCTATATCCCGCCCCCACTGCCACCAGAAAAGGCTTCAGATTTATGTAGCTTAGTGAGAATCCATAGCAATATCCCTGTTTTTAGATCTTTGTATTCAGCAGTTGGGCAGACTCCGGTGCCGGGTGAAGTCTGTACCAGGTGGCTGCTGTCCTGTCTTCTGTTCAATGGCTGACGCATCATTGTTCTGATTGCCTGCAGGTGGTTCCCCCGAAAGAATGGAAGCCTCGAGCCTGTTACGATGACCTGGATGAGCTTGTGATTCCGGCACCCATTCAGCAAGTGGTGACCGGCCAGTCCGGACTGTTCACACAGTACAATATTCAGAAGAAACCCATGACTGTCAAAGAGTTCAGACGTATAGCAAACAGTGACAAGTAGGTGCCAGTCGTGCGTGTGTGTGTATATACTATGGGGGGGGATTTATCAAAACTGGAGCAGTTGCCCAGGGCAACCAATCGGCGTCTCTGTTTAGTTTGTTCAGTTGAGATTTGAAAATGAGAGAGACAAGCTGATTGGTTGCCGTGCACAGCTGCTCCAGTTTTGATAAATTCCCCTCCATGTGTATTTGTATAGATCTCTTGCATATGATTTTAGTTTTTCTGCGTTCCCCTGTAACATAGTTTTATTACCTGTTGGATCTTCTTCCATCATCTTTAACAGGGTGGCAATGCTGTTTGTTCCGCCGTGAAATCACACAGCGGTGTTGTCACTCTGTGGACAAATGGATATGTACTTTTTAAATGGGCTTTGGAGTGGAGCTGTACTCGTCATGCATGCGACATTTGCAAGCTCCCTTGCTGGCCGCTGACATTCCACCTGGTTTCTGGGTTCAGGATCTCCAACCAACTTGGTTGGCTGGGATGACACAACTCCTGCGCGGCAGTTTATTCATCCCAGAAGATGCCGTACTTCTACACTGAGCTGCACATTGTGAACAGGCAGGTGAGACTTTCATTGTAGAAGAAACATAGGGGGGCTGATTTTTATAAAAGCTTTGCTGAGTGAATGCCATTTGCACAGCGTTGCAGCCACTATCAAGGGACAAACTGAAATCGTGTGTGATGTAAAACCATGCGCTCCCCGTGTGGCTCATAACACTTAAAGGAGAACTATGGGGGTCAGGGCTTTTCCCCATAGTTCTCCTAAGGGTAACGGGAGGACACAGACTAGCGTTCTCCCGTCACCCAAAGCTCAGTATACCGCGAGCTACAGCTCCCGGTATACTGAGACCGCTGCAGCCGGATCCACCCAGCTGTGCCCGCCCCCTCCCCCGTCCGTTTCGCCAGTCATCGATGGAGGAGGGGGGGAATCCCTGCAGGGAGCCGTGAGTGAGTCGATAAGTGAGCGAGGGACGCTATGTGTTCGCTCACTTCCCGCTCTATTGAGCTGAACTGTGACTGTTTCATTGTGATAGGTCGGCTCAGATTATGAGGCTGAGTGCAAAGCAGTCACCTCATAATTCTCCTTTTAAGACCGTGACCGAAAATTTGCATTGCATTGCAACAGAACGGCTTGTTGAAGGAAAACGTCCTTATAAATTTAAATGCAAAATGTGTGTTTCCCCCGATGCTGCGCTTTCCCTCGAAGGCTGTCCAGATATGACCGAGCACAGACACGATGTAGTATTCGGCATGGAAAGCGGCCGGGTTCTAATTCTCGCCTCGCGTGGTGCGTTGGCAGGCGCACAGTTTCCTGCTTTGCATTTGGTTTTGCTTGTTGGCAATTATTGTATATTGAGGGATGGGGTTTCATTCCAGGGTGCTCATATTCAAAGTAGTCCCATATGATCTTGTGTCGGCTATGCTTCACCACCTGCTCAGCAGCATTGTGACTGCTTTTTCTGGTATACCGTGCACAGGCCGAGGTCCATGTAAACTATAAAACTTCTTTTTGGTCTGTGAAATACATAAATGAAAACGTTTTGTTTTTATCTGTTCGGTTAGTGCAAAAAAAAAAACTGCCCTGTTATCAGAAGTCTTGTGATCTGATAACGTTCTGTGCTCTCTGCCCGTGCTGCACTCTCATCCGTTACATTCTCAGTCATCTCTGAACACTTCAAAATGCCTTTCCCATCTTGGATACGATTTCTAATCTTGCTCCAGCTGCCCGAGACGAGATGATGCGGCTCCGAGGGATTGGCTGTGTATTCTACGTATAATCATTTGCCTGGTTTGAAGTATAAAAGAAGGAACTGTGTATGGGCCGACATTGAATGGGCATTTCCCACGTTGCTGTTGGATAGCCTGGTTCTGTCCCGTGCTCCAGTCCAGCCCCCAGATATTCTCTCCGGTTTGAAATGTTTACAAATAATTTCCAGATTGTACATTAAACATTTCCTTTGTTTCCCCCGCACAGGTTTTGTACTCCTCGCTACGCTGATTTTGAAGACCTGGAACGCAAATACTGGAAGAATCTGACCTTCAACGCTCCGATTTATGGGGCTGATGTGAACGGGACTCTCTATGATAAGGTATTGATCAGGAGCTTTTCAATACATGCACAAAATGAGTTGCTCAAAGCTGATAGAATGGTATTTGGGGGGGTTCTGTGCAGATGATGAAAAAGCTCTTCATGTCTCACTCTGCTCTGGGAATCCCACTGCATCAATGGGACCTGAAGGTGCTTAAAGCGAACCTTTCCTGACTCCTGGGGGTTGCCTTTTGTCATGCTCATTCTGAAGACGCCAGGACAGTACAGTATACAATGCATTACATCTACCAACTGAATAATAAGGTTTCAGTCCCTGACCTAGAACAAGTGTGTATATCTGTAAAGTCAGACATGTCTCTGAGGACCAGTTTCCTGGAAATGACTAATGTAAATCGGATATTTTTTATTTGTACTTTGCATTTTTTAACATTTTCGTATAACATGTTTAACATTGCATACATAGTGCTATGGTATACAGAGTCATAGCAATAGAGCATAAAACAACTAACACAGTCATGTGGTCCGAAGTGCAT